GTGTTTTGTTCTGCTGTGCATGGGGTCGCTATGAGTTGGAAACAACTCAACGGCACCTAACAACAACAACAAAGCTTCTGTATTATGTTTCCATAGGAAATCCAACAAGTATAAAAGAAATTGATGTTTATTTTTAAAATTACCTTTAGGATGAATATGGTAATATTTAACATAACCCTTTCCAAAATACTGTAATTTTCTACAATAAGAATTGATATTTAAAATGATTGACTTCAATGATTTTTTTGGAATGCTACTAATGAGTTTTCGTCATCCTGTTTCTTTGCTGGTTGATAATGCATGTGTAGTAACATATAGTTAATCAGAAAAGCAAGTTAGCTGTAGCCCCTCATGTCTCAACTGTCCTTGATGTACAACATGCAGTTGTGTCGTTGGTTCTAACAGTACATGTGGTAAGTGGCCAAGCTGATCATGGGCAGTGTTTCCTTGGGCAAGTCACTTTATTTCTCTGAACCTCATTCTTCTCATCTTTATAATGTTTGACTTTTTGTTCCCAAGATGGTCTGAGAACAAAATGAGATAAGAGATATGAAAGCTCATTACAAACTTCATGGTGCTAAACAGCACGGAGGTAATGGCTGTGTTAATTACCCATCTTGCCATCAACAGCAGATTGTGGACATGGTGGCTCTGCAAGTCATGGTGCTTGGGTGCTCGTCCTATCGGCTCTGTGAACTTGGAGGCCATTAATTCCCTCTATGTCTCAGTTTCCTTAATAATAGAAAAGGAGTAGGCCTAGGTGATCTCCAAGGATCTTTCCAGCACTAGTGTTTTTTATGTTGAGACAGTAACCTGTGGGAGTTCTGGTGGTGTTGTGCCTAAGGCATTTGACTGCTAACCAGGAGGCTGGCATTGCAAACCCACCAGCCACTCCTCAGAAGGAAGATTGGGCAATCTACTTCCATATTGATAAGGGAACGAACACAATGCACTGCCATTGAGTCGGATCCGACTCATAGGGGTTGCTGTGAGTCAAATCTGACTTGACACCAGTGAGTTTGTTTTTTGGTTTGTGTAACCTGTGGTGCTTACTTACTTTAGGAACTTCTAAAAATACAGACATTTCTCTTTTATTACAAAACCTGATTTGGAACTGGAGGCAGAATGGAAATCATCTTAGTGGGCATGTTAATCACTGTCCGTATTAGATATCAGCGGACCTCCCAAAATGCATTGACTTTCCTCAGCCTCATAAGCAGTTGACTTCTGCTGGAGCTTATATTGCCTCTAGTTTCTGGTATCTGCTGCCACCTGCTGGTTGATGTCCTTAAAAGCAGCTAAAAACTAGGGAAATGGCTTATACGTGTAGAGAGGTTAAGTCAAGTGACAGGGAGGTGATGTGTGCTGTGGGCTGTTGTGGAGGAAATAACTGAAGTTTATCCACCTCCATGTCTACCTCTTCTTTGAAAACTGCAGCATACTCTTTTGGTCAAGGTTCTAATAATTCTGGTTTCTTCTGGGGTGTGTTTACTTTTCCAGCTGTCCGAATCCTCCTCCTCATGCTCCTCCATCCATTCCATGGACACAGCTTCCTCAGGGATGTCGTCCTCAGTCAACCCCCTCTCCTCTCCTCCGTCCTGCAGTAGCAACCCTAAAATCCACAAGCGCTCCATCTCCGTGACATCCATTACCTCGACAGTGCTGCCTCCTGTTTACAACCAACAGAATGAAGACACCTGCATAATCCGCATCAGTATAGAAGACAACAATGGCAACATGTACAAGAGCATCATGGTAAGGAGCTCATCCTGACCCAGGAGTTGTTTGTCCATTTGGATTGTGTCTGTGTTTTCAGCCACTCAGACTAAATCTCACTATGTATATAATAATAGCATATATATGCATTCACACAAAATCAACACATATAAACACTAAAATCACCCTGGGTTTAAATGTATTTATGTTAAAATACACATACCTACAGTGTACATGGATGAGCTCTGGTGGTATAGTGGTTAAGGCATTTGGTTGCTAAACAAAAGGTTGATGGTTTGAGCCTACCAACTGCTCTGTGGGAGAAAGATGAGGCAGTCTGCTTCTATAAAGATTGACAGCTTGAAAACTCTATGGGGGTCACTATAAGTGGGAATTGACTCCGTGGCAGTGGGTTACAGTGTATGTAAGATGCTTGGTGGTACAATGATAAACAGTTCAGATGCTAACCAAAAGGTTAGTGGTTCAAACCCACTAGTGATTCTGTGGGACAAAACATCTGGTGATCTGCTCCCATAAAGATTTCAGTTGTGGAAGCCCTGTGCGGTTCTATTCAGTCACGTGGGATTACGGTGAATTTAGATTGATGCCACAGTATGCAACGGCAACAACAGTGCACATAGGGAATAGTTTTCCCAACTTAAAAAATGCTAAAACTTACTCACCCAGGTCATTGTCACCTTTTTCAAAACTATCAATTTGGATGACTATATAAATATCATAGGGAAGATGCACTGCTTCACACCTTCTTGGAAGGCTTCCTCTGGAATTAGACCTTTGGGTTTAGAATTGAATTTCCATGCCATCTTAGGAATGTACAGCATGATGTCAAGATTTTGTCCTTCAGTCATTCTGAATCAAATCAGTTTATCAAACTGGGAAGTACAGTTCAGGTCCATAAAGCACTAAGCTTACAAACAAAGGAGCGTGAGCTTTCTGAACTGTTGGTAAACTATCGGTTCTAACAATTGTCACCAGTATGTTTTTAATAGTGGAGTCTTTTTGGAACACATATAGAGCCTCTTGTAGTGATAGCCTTGTGTGTGTGATACATGGTGTGTCTCCTTACTTTATAGGAGATATCAAATATCGAGAAGCAGACTTTGCAGTAAGATCACAGCTCATTCTGCCTCTCTCCTCATCTTCATCACTTACCTTCTTTGGGGGCACCCTGAGTGCTTCAAACTCAGCTCTGAATGTCACAGAAGTGGTATAGAGGGATTGCCTTTCAACATTCTAAAGATAAGCTTTGCCAGAATGTTCATTCAATGAGCAAAATATTTATTGAATATTTATTGTGTATTGGTCACTGGATTAGGTTCTGGAGATAAGGAGATGAATAAAACATTTCTGCCTTTACAGAGCTTATAATGAAAAGGGGACATGATAAAGGATTATTCAAAGTGTAGCAAATACTCTAGTAGAGGTCAGACCAGATTGTAAAGGTCCTCATAGCCCTCACGAAAGAATTTATGTTAATCCTGCAGGCAGTGGGGACTTACTGAAGGCTTTTAAGTAGCCATCAGGTTTGTATATTAGAAAACTGGCATTATGGAGACATGATGCTGTGCAGGGGTGGGAGTAGATTGGAGGTAGGAAAACAAGTTAGGATGCTATTATGATATTCCATGTGGGAGATGATAAAGGCTTGCATTAGTCATGTGGCTGGAGACAACACAGGTTTTTAAGGAAGCAGAATTGTAGGATCTGTTCATTTAGTCATCAACTTTTTGGTTACTGTTGTGGGAGATGAGAGAGAGGGAGGACTAGAGGCTGTCCAGGCAGCTTGGTGGTTGAGGGTCCTGTTAATCGATAGGAACTATGGGAGGAGGAGGCTTTAGGGGACTTTCAGTTGGAGGTACTGGTGGAACACCCAGATGACATCCTCTAGTAGAAGGGCAGAAACCCAGGTTGGTGTAAGGCTGGTGCTGGGAGTCCTCCAGCCCCACAGGGTGGGTCTGGCCATGCAAGGAGTGAGTATAAACTGAGACAGACCTCAAGTAGTGAGGGAGGGACTAATAAAGGACAAGGAAGCCAGGGTCCCCAGTGTTACTATTACTGTATTTTCAGTGTGGTCTTGTGTAAGTTTTATCTCTATAACTTTACAGTGTCTCTGAATTATAATAACATGCATGTGTAACTCCAAGCAATTAGGTTTTGGGACCTGTGATACAAAAAACCAAACTTGCTGTCATCGAATCATTTCTAATTCATAGCACAACCCTCATTGAGTTTCCAGGGCTGTAAACCTTTATGAAAGCAGACTGCCTCATTTTTCTTCCACAGAGTAGCTGGTGGGTTTGAAGCATTGACCTTTGGGTTAGCAGCCAGATATCTTAACCACTGTACTACCAGAGTTCTTTGGGACCTGTGATAGGCCTGGTCAATGTCTACTATATTCTGTTGGGAGAGGATTGTGAGTGGATGATGAGGTCTTTCACAAAATCCTACTGTCCAGAAGAATCTTAGATGGTGAGTACGGTGTGGCGGGCCAGGGGCAGCTGGTGATTAACAGATGACCCCCAGACTCCTTTCTCAGCACCTGGGCCACTTTTGTGGTAATCTTCTGCCAAACCCTTTCTTTATACTTACATAACACAGAGATGGTGCCACTCACCTTTTGTAGAAATCATCCCAGCCATCTCACGGGCCTACTCAGAATGGATGACACTGTTCTAGTGGTCTTGTTTTCATTGTTAAGCATTCCAAAGAGAAACATTGTTCTAAGGGAATTGCCCTTATGGAACCTACTTTACTGTATACTCTTGACTAGAAGATATCATTTCAACCCAAGTTTGGCCTAGAGAGCAGTTCTCAAACTATGTGATCACAGGACCCCTTTATACTCTGAAAAATTACTGAGGATTCCAAATAGTTTAGATTATATGGTTTATACCTACTGATGTTTACAAAAAACTGAGGCCTTTTCAAAATATTTATTAGTTCATATAAAATAATAATAAACATATTGCATGTTAATAAAAATTACCTATTTTTAATGAAAACGATCTGTTACTTTCAAAAAAATTATTGAGTAGGAAGAGCAGCATTGTTTTACATTTTTGCAAATCTTTTTAATGTCTGGCTAATGGAAGATGCTGTATTCCAGTATCTGCTTCTGAAATGTCTCTTAAGATACATTGTTTTCGTTGAAGCATATGATGAAAATCTAACTTGACACAGGCATGGGGTTTGAAAAGGAAGAAGTATTTTAATAGTCTTTTTAGATAGTTATAGGTATTCTTTTCTGATACTATACTGGAACTTGACGCCTAACAGTTCTTAAAGGTTAGTTGCAATATGGTATCTGAAACCATGTCAGTGAGCTTTTTTTGTCTTGTTACATTTAATAAATTGGTCTATATTTCTCTTCAAACTAAGCTTTTACTAAAGCTTGCATTGGTTATCTGGAAAATATTGTTTCACTGAGTTATGCAGATCTTCCAAACATTGACACATTTCATTATTTAGTATCAAAACATGACCTTTATTAATATTACTAATGATCTCATTGGGAGAGTCTTTTAAGTATTAGGGATATGTAAAGCTCACAGTAATAGATCCAAACCTATTTGGATGTTTCAAATCTCTGATTTTCACTTGAAAGCTTGAATTTTATCACTGTTTTATTTGATGTGATGACTTACTTGTTCATTTTAGAGAAAATGTCTGTAAAATACTGAAGTCTGAATAGCTGTAGTTTGTCAGCCATTCTTTCAAGTAAAAGTAGCATTCTTGAAAAAGTGGCAAGTTTAGCTCACAACTCAGTCATTCAAGTGCTTTTCTTCAGTATAACTATCATACTTTGGTAGGCAGCAAGAGTACACAATTTTTTTTTTTCAAAAAGTTGTATATTCAAGGCTGAAGAGTTAAGTAAAATTACTAACTTTTCTATTTTTTTTTTTTAACTATGATTGAAAGATACTGAAGAATTTAATGACTACTGGTATAGTTAGGAAGGAACTCTGGTGGTGTAGTTGTTACGGTATTCAGCTGCTAACTACAAGGTTGGTGGTTCAAACCCACCAGCTGCTCTGCAGAAGAAAGACGAGGCAGTCTGCTTCCATGAAGATTTATAGCCTTGGAAACCCTCTGGGGGTCACTATAAGTCAGAATCGACTCAATGGCACTGAGTTTGGTTTTTCAGTTTGGTATGTTGTTGTTGTTGTTGTTATGTGCTGTCGAGTCAGCCCTGACTCATAGCGACCCCTCCGTGGGTTTCCGAGGCAGTATCACTACGAAAGTAGGATTGCCCAACCTTCCTTCCGAGGAGTGGCTGGTGGGTTTGAACCGCCAGCCTTCTGGTTAGCAGTCAAGTGCCTTAGCCACTATGCTACCAGAGCTTCCTCAGTTTGGTATAGTTAAGAAGAAACCCTGGTGGCACAGTGGTTAAGGATTACAGCCTAGAAAACCCTAGTGGGGGCAGTTCTACTTTGTCACATGGGGTCACTGTGAGTCAAAGTTGACTCACTGGCACCTAACAACAGTTGGATACCCCTGCATTGATTTGTGCTAAGAGGCCAACTGTTTCATCCACCATTACTTTTGCAATGTAATGCAAATGTCAACCCGAATGAAAAGTCAAATCTTAGTATTGTTATGAAAGTAGTTTTGCCCCTCACAGATCCACTGAAGTGATCTCAGGGACCACAGGTGCCGCCAATCACTTGTTGAGAACTGCTGACCTAGAGAACTTGCACTGCAGACGTTACTCCTATCCTGAGTCCAGATCCTTTCCATGAGAAGTAAGAGAAACAATACTTACATCCTTGGGAAGATATCACCTCAGAGAACAGTTATTTGCGTCCTATATCACCATTGCTCTCACTCTTTCTAAGTGATATTTCTCTCCATTTTGTCAACCAGAGCTTCATATGCTCCCTGGACTTCCTGTGACCATAAATATTTAATTCCCTGATTCATATGCATGAAGGGAACACCTACGCACTCTTCAGTGCTGCACCATCCAGTGCTCTAGCCACTGGCCACATGCTGCTGCTAAACACTTGGAACAGGGCTGG